CTACCGGTTAGGAAAAAAAAATTTTTTTTAATCTAAATTTATTTTTTTTGGCCACGCAGCATACAGGATCTTAGCTCCTCCATCAGGGATCGGACTCGTGTCCCCTCCAGTGGAAGCATGGATTCTTAACCACTAGACCACCAGGGAAGTCCTTGGTTAGAACTATTGACTTTCTTGGTGGTCCCGTGGTTAGGTCTCTGCACTTCCACTGCAGGGGGTACAGGTTCGATCAGTGATGGAGGAGCTAAGATCCTGCACACTCTGCAGCACAGCTAAAAGAAAATAAATAAAAATAATAGTGCAGAAATACTGAAATATTTCCATATTTATTAGTTAAAAGAAAAAAGGAGCTAGTACTCCAGCTCCCCTCGGTAGCCTCTCAGCCACCCTGTCCTTGGGACCCCTGGGTCCTCCTTACATCCAGCGCCTAAAAGTTTAATGGCTGACCCAGAGGGAGCCCGCCAGGACCCCGCCCCAAGCTTGCATTGGTGCCCATGTCCTTCTATATCATTAAGTACTCCTCTGACTCCAAGCCTCAGAAAAGGCATCATTAGTTTCACTTTACAGATGAGCCACCCAAGGCCTAAGAGGTGAGGGGACTTGCCCCAAGGTTACCCAGAAGGAACTGAAATTCAGCTTCATGGATTACTGCTCCATTGTGCTTTCCACCCCATGACATGGTCACCTGGATTACCCTTTCTGTTGTTATGGATTGAATTGTTGCTCCCACCCATCCTAATTCACCTCTTGAGGTCCTAACCCCTAGTACCTCAGAATATGAATGTATTTGGAGATAGGGTCTTTAAACAGGCCTTGAAGATTAAGTGTGTTCATTAGGATGGACCCTAATCCAATATGGTTGGTGTCCTTATAAGAAGAGACTAGGACATAGACACACAAATGGGGAGGACCATGTGAAGACAGAGGCGGCCTAATGGTTAGAACTCCTGGCTTTCACTGCCATGGCCCTCTGGGCTTTCGTTGTCATGGCCCGGGTTCAATCCCTGGTTGGGGAACTGAGATCCCGCAAGCCATGAATATGGCAAAAAAAAAAAAAAAAGAGAGAGAGGGAAAAAAGCCATTTACAAGTCAAAGACAGAGGCCTCAGAAGAAACCAACACTGCCAACACCTAGAGCTCAGATTTCTAGCCTCCAGAATCGTGAGAGAATGAATTCTGTTGTTTAAGCCACCCAGTTCGTGGAACCTTGTTATGGCAGCCCTAGCAATCTTATACATGAAATATACAATCTTATCTGTGAAATGATGGTAACAGAGCTTACATCAGAGAAGACGGAGTAAACGGGTCATGTTATATGATGGTCCCCCTTCTCAGCTGTAGAGCAGCCCATCCTTTGCAGCTACAAATCAGATCAATCTTAACTCCAGTGGGGATATTTCAAAACCAAACGTCTCCTTTCACATCTCCAAGAGCATTTCTACACAGAAGTCCCTCCTTTCCAGTGCTTGTCACATCCCCCCAGACCTGTGGGCTCAATCCTTGGAAGCTCTCATCTCTGCCTCTCCTTTTTAACCCCTAAACCTGAGCCCAGTGGTGTCTGGGAAACTGTGGAAGTGGTTTTGGTTGCCGAGAAACAACTGAGGGCAGATGCGGGCACTCAGTGGGCAGGGCCAAAGATTTGCACACAGAAACGTGAGAGTCAGTTCCTGGCAATGAAGAACTGTCACAAGTTCTATATGACTTTTGAATGTCCCCCTGGACATTCATGTTGGTGAAAAGTCTGTTTATAAATCTCCCAACCCAGAACTGAACTTCATGCTACATGTTAAGTACCAAGTATTTTTTTCTTTTTTAAGTTTTAAGATCTATTGAAATTTTCAGGAATGTAACTACAGTAAGTCAAAATAAGGCTGTATTTTGTTTTGTTCTAAACTTTACCAAGAGTCGTTCATCATTTTAGAAAACTATGACATCATGCAAACTATTATATATAGAATGGATAAACAACAAGTTCCTACTGAATAGCACAGGGAACTATATGCAATACTCTGTGATAAACCATAATGGGAAAGAATATGAAAAAGAATGTATATATACAAATAACTGAATCATTCTGCCATACAGCAGAAATTAACATAACAATGTAAATCAACTACACTTCAATTAAAAAAAAGAAAACCATGACACTGGTAATAACACCATCTGTATCATTTAAGTCTCTATTACTACGCTCTGGATCACCATGTTTCTTGCTGTGTCACTCAGGCCATGTTAGGTGTGAATGGCTATTTCATTATTTTTTCTACTGTGGCCCTGCCTGAGCATTTACATATTAAAATTCATCTTGTTAAGTGTTAGCCACTCAGTCATATCTGATTCTGTGCAACCCCATGGCTGTAGCCCACCAGGCTTCTCTGTCTATGGAATTCTCCAGGCAAGAATAGTGGAGTTGCCATTCCCTTCACCCAGGGATCAAACCCAGGTCTCCTGCATGGCAGGTGGATTCTTTACTGTCTGAGCCACCATATTAAAACTCACCTTATTTTATAACAAATCACCTTCCTTTCATTTCTCCTTTATGAAAAAATATTTAGGGATATAGGAAATGTACATCCGTACAGTGGAAGATTAGTCAATTTAAACCAGTTGAAGGACTGATGCTTGCTACAACATGGATGAGCCTAGAAAACATTATGCTGTGTGAACAAAACCAGGCACAGAAGACCACATATGGTATAATTCCACTTATATGAATGTTCAGAACAGGCAAATCTATAGAGACAAAGGAGATTAGTGGTGGCTTAGGGCTGGGGTGGGGAGAGCTGGGAGGATTGAGGGGTAGTGTTTAAGGGGATCAAGATTTCCTTTTGAGGAAATGAAACTTCTAAAATTGATTGCGGTGAGGGATGCCCGGCTCTGAATACAATAAAGCCGTTGAACTGCACACTTTAAATAGGTCCAACGTATCTTTGTGGATTATATCTCAATACAATTGTTAAAAATTTTAGAGATGTAGATATGCTTTCTCTTTATATAAATAGGCTCATTGTATATATAATTTCAGAGAGTAACGTGGGCATGGGAAGATGTTGGGTTGGCTAATAAGTTCGTTCCGGGTTTTCCATAAAATGCATTGGAAAAACCCAAATGAACTTTTTGGCCAACCTAATATATGCAGGAGAAAGCGGACGTTGGGTCCTTTAAACAATCAAACAGGGCTGAGAACTTCTACATGCTCTGTTCCCTGTTGATCTCTCTGATTTCAGTCTTTTCTTCCTCTTGCTTAGTTCACTGCAGACACACCAGACTCCCCACAGTCCCTCCAACTCGCCAAGCTGCACCCAGACACAGGGCCTTTGCACCAGCTGTTCCCGTACCTGGAGCGTTTTTCCCCGGAAAAAAGGGCTTCCTACTCTCTTCACTCATTGCACAGATGCACCCCCTCAGAAACCCCTTCCCCGCCCACCCAGATTATCAAAGTTCATGTGTATTTATTTTACATCTCCATCATGGGTATCTTCAGATTCTATAACTGCTAATTTCACATCTCTCATATGATGTTGAGTGGACCCCTCAAAAGTCCAAAATGAAACTCATCTTCCTCCTCAAATGTGTTTCTGCCACAGTCTTCATTTCGGCACAGGAAAAATGCATCCTACAACTACTTGGTCCCAACCTTTTGGAGTCTTCTCTTTCCTTTACACTCAACATCCAATCAGCAATTTTGTTGGCTCTGCCTTCAAAAATATATCCTAGATTATGCTAGATTAAAAGAGATTAAGAAGGTATAACAGCCAAATGCAGCACATGAACATTGAATCTTTAATAAAAATACTCTATACATGTAAAAGACATTTTGGACAATCTGAATATGGACTTTTTATTAAGTAATATTATGAATTCAGTGTTAATTTTTATAAGTGTGATAAAAGTAATATAATAATATAGGAGACTATCCTTGTTTTGGGGAGCTATACACTGAAGTATTTAGGGTGAAGAGTAGTAAAATCTACAACTTATTTTCAAATAGATCAACAACAGGGACTTCCCTGGTGGTCTAGTGTTTAAGACTGCATGCTTCCAATATAGGGGGCGCAGATTCGATCCCTGGTTGGGGAACTAAGATCCTGCTTGCCTCTCAGTTCAGTCAAAAAAAAAAAAAATCAAGCTGATCAACAACAAAAAGAACCCCAAAGTCAATGTGTATGTCTGTGTGTAGAAATAAAGCAAATGTTAATAATTGGTGAGTCTAAGTGCAGTGTACAGGAGTTCATTGTACTGTTCTTTAAACATTTTCCAAATAAAAAGTTAAGAGAAAAAAGGTACCCATACTTCCTTTCCTTTTTCTCCATCTTGTCTTCATAGTACTTTTCACTCTCTGACATCCTATACATTTTATTTATTTGCTTCTTTTCTGATTTCCCAGGGGAAAATTTAAGGTCCGTAATAGTAGAAATCTTTATCTTTATTGCTTACTGCTGGGTTCTCAGTGCCTAGACGAATGCCTGGCACATACTTAGCCAAGGGTGGGTGAATGATAGTGGTACACATGCAGTGATTGTTGTCCCCAGGTGCAGACCTGTATTTAAGTCCCACATCTGTGGTACAGCCACCTAGGAAAACAGTCTTGCAGTTCTTCAAAAAGTTAAACGTAGGTTTTATCATATGACCCAGAAATTCCACCCTACATATTTACCCACACATTTGTTAATTAGCAGCATAATTCATAATAGCTATAAAGTAGAAACATCCCACATTTCTATCAACCGATGAATAATAAACAAAATGTGGTATATCCATACAATGAAGTATTATTTGGCCATAAAAAGGAATGAAGTTTTTGATACACACCGCAGTGTAGATTTGGGCTTCTCAGGTGGCCCTAGTGGTAAAGAACCTGCCGTCAGTGCAGGAGATGTAGGAGTTGTGGGTTTGATCCCTGGATCAGGAAGATTCCCTGGAGAAGGGAATGGCAACCCACTCTAGTATTCTTGCCTGAAGAATCCCCATGAACAGAAGAGCCTGGCGGGCTATAGTCCATGGGGTCACAAAGAGTAGGACACGACTGAAGCGACTTAGCATGCATGCATGCACAGTATGGATGAATATTAAAGACTTTATGTTAAGGGAAAGAAGCCTGACTCAGAATGCCACATTATATATCATTATGTATCCTTCAATTTACATAAACTATTCAGGACAGGCAAATCCATAGGCACTAAAAGTAGATCACTGGTGAAAGGGGCTGGGGCAGAGGCACTGGGGAATAGAAAACGACTATTAATGGGTATGGGGCTTTTTTGGGGGTGGTGAAAATGTTTTGGAATTAAGACAGTGGTGATCAACGCACAACTTTGTGAATATACTGAAACCACTGAATTAAACACTTCAAAATGGTGAACTTTACAGTATGTGGATTATATCTCAATACAGCTGTTATTTTATAGAAATCACTGGAAAAAGAGAAATCTGACAAGTCAAGGGGATAGAACATTAGAATGTACAAAACCAGGCCTAAGAGTAAAGAGGGATTTAGTATGTGATACAGCATTTCAGAGCAACAGGAGAAGGATTAAAACTTTCCATCCAAGAAATTGTGTTCAGTGAGGAATGGTGAAAGCAAAAGCCTTCATCTCTCTGTGCCTCCGTTTCCTCACTGCTGACATTGACATTACCACAGCGGCTCTATTCAGGTCTTGGGGATATTCAATGACTAAGGTGACTCCATGGTGGTTGGCACAGGGGAAGCCCTCAGAAAACAATAGCTGCCTTCACGATAGGCCCAGATTGCAAGACCACAGCATCTTAGATCTGTAGATGCAGTTCTATAGAATCCTGGATGTTAGAACAGTAGAATGTTAGAATAATATATTCCTCGAATTTTGGAATCACAGAGCCGTAGAATTATAAGTGTCTTAGAGCCAGAAGGACCTCAGAGACCATCTGCCTCAGACGTTTGCAAGTCTGGAGATTTAAAAACAACAGTAACAATAAACAGCAGCAGCCACTAACAACTGTATAAAGTAGGTACTATTATTAGCACATGTTATAGATTGGGTGGCTTAGATCATAAAGAATCTGCCCACAATGCAGGAAACCCAGGTTCAAACCCTGGGTCGGGAAGATCTTCTGGAGAAGGTATGACAACCCACTCCAGGATTCTTGCTTGGGAAATCCCATGAACAGAGGAGCCTGGTGGGTTATGGTTCATGGGGTTGCAAAGAGTCAGATACAGCTGAGTGACTAACACACATAGATTGGGAAAGGGAGGCACAGAGAAGTTAAGTATATTGCTTAAGGTCACACAGATGGTGACTAGTAAAGCCAGGATCTGATCTCAGGCCAGAGTTCATGTTCAGATTCCCAGGACTTCTCCCCAGAAATCTGGACTCAGTGGTCCCAGGCTGGGACTCAGGAATCTGTGTTTTAACCCAGATGATTCAGATACCAGCCAGGGCTGAGAACCACCCATCCAACCCAGAGGGGGCAAACTGGTGGTGCTCAGGCCACAGCCAGCCCAGCCACATAGTGTTTTAAAAACTGAGTCAACCTTGAAAAATCAAATGATTTCAAATATGTTTGACTTCATTTGAAAAATGTAGAAGATATTATGGGAAAACCCAAACAAACTTTTAGGTCAACCCAACAATGCTCCGTCCTCATTCCCAAAGGGTTAAGAATCAAGTGGAGGTGAGCAGCAACTACCCGCTTTAGGGATAGCATGATACCTCTATGATACCTCACTCCTTTATGTTCCCTTTCTGAATTCTGGAGACATTTCCATTTATAATCCCCAATCTGACCCAGCTTCCCCACTGTGAAGAAACGGAAACTGAGCATACATAAGGAAGAAGACACAGGGCAAGTCCAAGGCAAAAAGGGGACAGACTTGCCTCCTGACTCAAAAATCCCATAGTAACAACAATAGCAAACATTTTTGGATAATTGCTTTTCAAACATTAATAAACACTAGCCACTACCCTTAAATAGGTACCATTATAAATCTCATTTCACATGGAGAAATCAAGTCACTTGCTCAAGGTCCCGCAGGTAGGAAGTATCAGAATAGAATTCAACTCAACATCTGACTCGTGTCTGAACCTTCAGCCATTATCTCTTTCATTCTTTGAAGCCCCCGAGTAACAAGGCAGAGGAAAAAAAATCCTGGTTCTATAACCGTTCGACTCCACTATTTCAGAGTTCCTGTGGCTTAGGGAGTGGAGTAAGACGCTCAGGTGCTAATGGTGCTGACCCCATTCTCCCTGCAACATGTACAAACTTTTGATGAACCCTGAGTCCCTAGCGGCCACGACCAAGGCGGAGGGGAGAGGCAGTACCTTCGCTTCCTTGCAAACTGTAGGGAAGCTGTGGCCTGCTGGTGGGAAGGGATTTAGGAGAGGGCCGGCTGGGCGCGAGGGGCGGAGTTGCTTCAGCACCAAGGACAGCAGCCGCGCTCCGAGCCTCAAGCTCGCAGGTTTTGGGGGGATCGTTCCGTTTCGCAGTATTCTACCAGGGTTTGCTACCCACCGTTTCCCCACGAAATCGTAGAAACTCAGACCCGTGGTCTGTCCCATCTCAGGGCAACAGGATTTCCCAAGAATCCCAGTTTCCTTTTACCGAGGCCCTCTCTCCTATCTTTGCTTCCAAGCAGACGTCCGTTCAGGAACCCTCACAAGTGGGCTGTCTGCCTGCTCAGGGATCTCGCCCGTTTGCATCTTGTGCACACGTATACGGGAGTGGAGAGAGGGAGAGCAAACGGGGAGTTTGCCGCAGCCAACTTCGTGCCCTGCTTCTGCTCGCCGGGTCAGGGCCATGTTGCCAGGGGCTTTGCAGGAAGCCCACCTGCCTGGTGTGCACAGGGGTCTTCGTAACCCGAGAAGCCCAGGAAGCGACTGATCCGCTCTTGCACATCCCTCCGCCACGGCTTCCTGATAATGCAGGCAATCGAAAAGCTCCGCGTTCCTCCTTCCATCCCTCCTCAAGAGGGCTATGTAGCAGAAAGACCCGCCTCCTCTCTTCCTAAGGAAACATGATTTTCCCAAAATGGTGGCTAAACTCCCATCCAGTAACTAATGAACAGAGTGGGTAACAGTGCTGTGTTGCCTATGGATGGGGTGGTTACTTCCGGTGAGAACAGGAAGTGGGAAGCAGGTGGTTTTGACAGACAATGGGATGAGGTGGAAGAGAGAAGGGGATCTGGTAAATCCTAGGAGGAAGGGATAAATAAGGGGGTCTCTGGTCAGATTCTCCCAGACCTTCATTCTCCCTCTGAATCAAATCACTCTAATAAGCGGTCTGGCGTCCTTAGGCGGACTCTCTTTACGAACCAATACCACGTATTTGATTGATAAATGTTTTATAGCTTATTCTGCCATTGAAGTAGTCTTCCCAGGTGGCTCAGTGGTGAAGAATATGCCTCCCAAACAGGAAATGCAGGTTCAATCCCTGGATCGGGAAGATCCCCTGGAGAAGAAATGGCACTCACTCCGATATTCTTGTCTGGGAAATCCCTTTGACAGAGGAGGCTGATGGGCTACAGTCCATGGGGTCGCAAAGAATCAGACAGGACTTCATAGCCAAAACACCACCACCATGCCATTGAACCCTCCTCGCAAACCGGTGACATGGAAGAAGTGCTTTCTCTCAAATCCCACCAGCTTTACAAAAACCCAGCCTCTATCCCTGCTAACCTGCTTGGCTCTGTCAGGATTCATTGTGGTTTGGGGTTGAAGGATATTGACCACCTCAGGCTTGGTCATCGCTTGTGGGATTTCTCGGACCTTCTCGGCAATAAAGCTGTGCACAGCATTCAAGGCCTCTGCTGTGCCCTGTACCAGGCATACTCTCTCTGTGGTTCCTGTTGAGCAAGGAAGAGAGGGGTCACACTCATCAGAAGGAGAGTGAGTGGAATTCCTGTTTTATTATCTTCACTTCCTCTCCCTCCCTTAAAACAAACCCAGGGGATGGAAGAATGATGCTTAAGTGCTTTGCTATGCCCACAACAGCCCTGGGCAAGGGAGACAGGGCTCAGCTGCCTCTTCCCAGTCCTTGCTGGCTCTCGGTTGCTTTGGCAACCATTCACTCACTGCCCCCCCCTCCACCTTCTAGAAGCCGAGAGCTCAGGCCTGCAACGGTTGCCACAGTAACTGGAACCCCCTTATCGGTGTGGCTGGCCGGGTCCTCAGCCCACCCCCAGGGGGATGAGGGACGAGGCCCCGTTGCCTTGGCAACCCCTGAAAGCCTGCAGCGACGGCCTCTGGGCTTTTGGAGAGGATGGGGAAGGGCTGGGGGATGGGGGAGACAGCAGAGAGGCCTGAGTGCCTGCCTGGACCCACCAGATGGAGGGCTGAGGGGTGGGGGAGGGCAAGGGTGGGGAGAGGGAAGAGCAGAGTGGGTCAAAGACAACTCATGGAAGAGTGGAGATGGGGATGCAGAAAGGATGGCGGGGTGCCTCTGCTGGCGATTCTCCAGATATTTGTGGCAGTTCTGACCTGGGCATCCTTGGTGTGTGTGTGTGTGTGTGTGTGTGTGTGTGTATCGGGGTGGGTAGCAGAGAGCAGAGGTGCTAATTCTAGGTGACGTTGGGATATATATGTATGAGAGAGAGACTCTGGGTGACACTGACCAGTGCAAACAACATCTGTGAGGCTGTTTGGGTGAGTGGTGTGTGTGTGTGTGCGTGCATGTATTTTCTTGGGAAGGACTGGCTCAAATATCTATCTGTGTGTGTATGTAAAAGAAAGAGCAGGAGAGACCAGGATACAAACAGACTGCATGACATAGTGATTTCAGTAAAGACGTTTGTGTGGGGGAGAAAGACTTTGGATGTCACTGTGATGTTCAAGGTTATGTACACTATTTGTAAGACTGAGCTGGGTGTGCACGGAGGTTTGGGAGTAAGAAACAAAGAATCCCAGGAAGTGGCATTGAGGCTGTACGATGAATGCATAGCACTTGGAGATTGTATGACAGTGCGCCTGTGTGTCTGTGTGTGTGTGTTTGCATAAGGGAAAGAGATATCCGGATACCTCTGGGTGTTCAAAAGACTACCTGGACAAATGGTGTGCAGACTGCATATATACATGCAAGGGCGCATGTACAGGTAACAGGCAAGACCCTGTGAATGATGAGGGTGAATATGAGGAAGAGAAAGAAACCGACAGGCAGACCCAGGTGTCAGTATGTAAGAATTGGTATTTGGAGAATTGATGTATTTGTGTGTGTGTCTGGGGTCTGAATTACAGTCAGACAAAGAAGACTCCACCAGGACTGGCTGGGGTGAAGCTCTGAGTGCAGATGATACAGGCATGCTAGGTGTGGTATGGTGTGTGTGTGTGTCTCCCTGGGTAGGACTCTGTTTGCAGGACCAGTTAGCTCCCTGGGTCTATAAAGGGTCCTGAGTGCACCAGGCTCCATGTGCCTGCGTGTCCAGGACACTTGGGGGTGAGTGTCCCGTGTCCTGTGGGTATACCAGTGCAGCATGCTAGTCTTACACCCTGATCCCTCACTTGCCGTCGCTCAGCCTGGCATGCCAGTCTCGCCATGTGTCTGGGTGTCCCCGTCTTGGATCACTGGTGTAGCTGACATCCCCCATGTCCTCTGGGCTGCTATTCCTCACTCTTACTCCCCTCCACCCCAGAACAATGGCTTGGTCTGAGCCAAGCGTGAGTCAGCGCATAGGCTGCCTCCGTCTGGGTGTAAATAGGAAAGGGTGTGGGTCAGGGTGGGAACTTGGGGGGTGGGGTGGCCCCAGGGAGAGCCTGGCTGAAGTGGCCCTGCTCTCCATCTCTGAGAGGCTTCCTTCCAGCTCAGGGAGTCTGTGATCTCACACCCGCTTGTAGTTCTTAACCAGGATCCACAGGGGCTTTGGGGGACTCAGTTAAACCCTGAAAGAATATCTAATAATAACAGCTGGTGCTTACATAACACCAATTTCCGGGCATCATTCTAAGCACTTTTTATGTATATATATATATATATATATATATATATATATATATATATATATATATTTGTTCATATG